CCCCCCCCGTTCCAAGAGAGTGGATGTGTCTCGTTGATTCGTCGTCGCCCACGAAATGCGGCGCACGATCACGTTTTTCGCGTTGTTACGTTATCGTGGCATCTTGTTCTCTCACGAGCGGAGATGCATGATTGATGAGAGGTATCACGGTTGGCAAGCTGCTCATTCATTCATACGGCTGAACAGAATCAGCTGACGCCGCATCGTTCTCGAGATGGTCGCGATGTGTCCTACGGTCGAGTCACCGGCTCACGCGACAGGATCGATTATTTTTCGTACGCAGGACCTCCGGGCTATTTTTCAAGGAAACGCCGCGGAAGTTTTTCCAACGAACGGTGATTTTTCCATCGTAAAATAACGAACGGGAGAATTACAGAGCGAATTCGAGTGTTTATCGTGAAGATCCGCAGCGCGATACCGTGTCGTATCGCGCGCGCAGTTTTATCGCGGCAAAAATCTGACGAAGATCCAGGAATAATCATTTAGCTTCGACGTATTTACGATACTGTGTCAGGCTCTAGAATGAACAGCTCTTGTTTGTAAATATCGTAGGGATGGGTTGCCTCAGGTAGAAGGAACGTAACTCAGGCAAGAAAAGTAAATAGGTGACTCATCCCACCCACCCTAATAAAAAAAAACCCTGTCCGCAAAATCGAAGTTCACTATGATTAATATCGCGCCGGCCAAGACGTGCACACACATACACACACACACACACCATCGTCATACGTATGTTACCGGCAATGATTAAATCCTTTCTCCTGTTTATTTCGCTTACATCGCGAGAACGTACGCGCAATTTAATTCCGCCAACCCTTGGCTTTTGCCCGAGGTATGTCACAATGTTTCTTTCGCAAGAAATATGCACACGTTAATTCACTGCAGCCGCATAATCGAGGTGCACTGCGCGCTCTACAGTGTGTCCCCATTCGTACATAGTACGTGCAACAGTGTGTATATATATTATGGTTAAAAAATTCTTGTTTTTCTCACATTTTTCTGTGAAAAAAGAAAAAATCCGCGGTAAATGGAAAAAATTCAGGTTTCTTTTCCGAGCCTTGGATAAAACTGTAATATATGTACATAGAGCGCCTGCCCCCCCTCCCCGTTTGCGCGAGGAAATCGGAAATTGACAGTTCGTGGTCAAGATGAATACCGGTTTCTGTCGACACCACGTTCTCTCCGCTTTATCGTGAAAAGATATATACCGCGTGTTCATCTCGACAAATCAGATAGTAGGTGATAGGAAGAAAGAGAAAGAATTCCAATCTTAAAAATTACCGCTTCCGGTTTCACCAGTCGCTACGGTGAAAGTATGCGAATGTTTGATCGGTAATGACTCGCATTGATATCCGGATTACCATTCGGGAGGATGCACGCGGCCACACGTCGGCTATTCGAATGTGAACTACCGTATTTTGTTACTGATGTATATCTGCTTCTCGCTCGTAGAAGAACAAAAAAACTCGAAGCGCAGTATCTTCGAGGAAAATGCTGCAAATAACAATTATACAAGCGCAATTATTCAAATCACGTGTTGCGACATGCGTCGACTAGTTGATATCATAACGAGTTGTTGCATTAATTTTGTTAACCTTTTTTTGGATCAATCTTATTACGAGAACAACATAAGAACCTAATTACAATTAATCACATGCGTAAGAGGAAGGAACTACGGCGGGACGGTATATAATCAGGTGGACGCCTGGTAAGCAGGCGTCTTTAAAGAGAAACACCACTTTGAAGGGAGACAAAGAGAGGGGGAGACAGGGGGGGGGGGCGACGCGGCAGATTGAAACTGTTCTCTTTTTTCGCAAGTCATGTCTCGCATCGCTCGAAGTAGCTGCGCGATAAACGCGTTCTTATACGTCACGCGGCAATGCTTCAACGTGGCATTAGTTTCTTCACGCGACAGAGAACTGCCATTGCATTTTACCACTTCCTCTCCATCGCCCCTCCGTCTTGACTACATAATTCGCACGTACAAATAATGCAATAATTCCACATTACAGACGCGATCTCGAGGTAAGTTCAGATTACGCTGACACGCATAAATTTGTCGATAATTGTGTGTCGATCGAAACAATTATGAAGGAAAAAGAGCAAAGAAAGGCGGATTATTTAATGAGGACTATAATTTTAAAGTTTTCGAATAAATCGTTTTTGCTCCAATTTTTCCGCTATTTTTTTCGTTTTCTTATCTTCCTTATGGAAAAAACAAGCAAATGCGACAGGTTTTAACCCAATACACGTGGATTTCTTTAAACGAAATGTCTATGCTCTTGGGGACCAAACGGAAGAAACCTGCGGAGAAATGGGGGGGAAAAAGTTCTTAATAAATTATAATAAGGATAAAGAAAAAAAAAAAACCAAGAGTCATCGTCGTCGAGAAACAGGACAGGTCGCTCGGAGCATCCCGCAGAAGGGAAGCACGCGCGCGCATTTCGAAGCGAGATAGAAACGTTCGTTCCTCGGCACGGCGGGCGAAGTTCCTCGACATGGTGCGAACGCGGAGGGAAGGTCGTTCTCGGACGTTCCACCGGACGGGCGGGCGGGTGTAGACGCATGTTCGTTCGTTCGGCTACTAAAGTCGTCCGCGCGCCGAGCTGCGTTGCCACGTTTCCCGGCCCGTGTTGACACGACCTGGGCTCTAATCAACTAGCCGTCGCTCCGCAGTCGGCATATAATACTACTACTATACATATACTACTCGCGCGACATTAATACGTCCGTGTGCACAGGTAATAACGGGCGGCACGTCGATGCACAGCGATGGGTGCATCCTTGCCGTCGTCGACGTTTACTTCCGAAACGCCTACCGGGATCGACTGTGCATCTCGAAACATAGTGAGAATTAACCCTTTCGAATGGTACACTTGAAAGCTAAATTTATATCATTTGACGCTAAATGAACTAAATCATACCTAATATTTTTGATCGACAAGAGATTGCTTATATTCAGGGACGGAGAGGGGTTACAAGTGAGAAAGGTAAACTCACGTTCAGGTAACTTTTACTATGATGAAAACACGATATATCTCACGTGAGGTCGCTCGACAAGCAATTTCGTATCGAATGTGTGACGCCGAGTAGTGTCTCAAGGATATTGTATCCTCACTTGTATAGTCAATCGCGTGTATCCGTTCACGTGAGATGAAAGTACGAGAAAAGTCGACGAAGATGCACGATCGACCCTTCTAATGCATCACGATGAGTAGCTGTCTACGATGATCTCCGCGTACATGGTCGAACACGAGTGCTATGAATTCGCTGCGATACTAATGAGACTCAGCCGCAGCAAGAGTGGTAATAACAACAACTCGATCGATCGTAAGAGCGATACTTATGACATTTATATTTTAAATGCTGTGTGTTGCTCCGAGATGTAACCATTACCCCTGCTGTGGTAAGCCATGATGATAGCGAGCTGTTATCATGATGGTGAACTGTTGCTAAATAGTGTGATATGCACAGTAAAAAATGTCGCGATAAATTTAACGCAAGATAAATATGCAACAGAA